GTGTGTGTGTGTGTGTGTCTGTGTGTGTGTGTGTGTAATGTGTTTGGGTGTTTTGCTTCCATGTTCATCTGCACACTGCTTGCATGCAGTGCCCACAGATGCCAGAAGAGGGCATGAGATCTCCTGGAACCGGAGTTACAGACAGTTGTGAGATACCATGCAGGCACTGGGAACTGAACCCTGATCTTCTAGAAGAATAGTTAGTGCTCTTGACTGTTGACCCATCTCTCCAGTCTTGACTTTCTTTTCTTATTAAAGAGAGGCCACACTGCTGAATACACAGCCTGATTGCTTACATGTAAGCATCTTACGTGATGGCTGTGTTCAGTTATACATTATGCATGCTGATATAGGCCACCATGCACAAAACAGAGAGTTATGAGTTCCCATGAAGGCACTGGGAACTGAACCCTGATCTTCTAGAAGAATAGTTAGTGCTCTTGACTGTTGACCCATCTCTCCAGTCTTGACTTTCTTTTCTTATTAAAGAGAGGCCACACTGCTGAATACACAGCCTGATTGCTTACATGTAAGCATCTTACACGATGGCTGTGTTCAGTTATACATTATGCATGCTGATATAGGCCACGATGCACAAAAAGATCCCCATCTGTAACAGGTGGCAGCCTGTTACAGGCAAGAGGTAAGCAAATGGCCCTAAACTTTGCTCTCATCCTTAACTAGGGTATGAAAAGCCCTACCATCCCCTCCTTCCAGTACCACTCGGAAACTACAGGCGATTTCTGTGGGATGCCTGATTTGGGCCTGATGGGTACTGTTTTCTGGTTCACTGGCCCATTTTCACCCCCAGGAGTACATCACTCCTTTTTAAAATAAACTCTCTATTATGAACCATGTGTCCCTGGCCTGACTCATGGCTCTGCGAAGAAAAGCCTGAAAAACTCAGCAAGTGCAATCACACTCAGATCCCCATCTGTAACAGGTGGCAGCCAGCCAGGCAAGAGGTAAGCAAATGGCCCTAAACTTTGCTCTCATCCTTAACTAGGGTATGAAAAGCCCTACTATCCCCTCCTTCCAGTACCACTCGGAAACTACAGGCCGATTTCTGTGGGATGCCTGATTTGGGCCTGAGGGATCCAGTTTAAACCTGACATACCTCCTGTTCAAATATCACTGTGACTTGTGAGCTGAGGGGTATTTCTCCAAGCTTCTTTCATGCAACACAAAGGTGGTAGCTACTGAGTCCAGACTCAAAATCCAGAGGCCAGTGACAGTCCATGTTTAACCTAAGAGGTACATAGAGCCCACCAGTTGACCAATGACTCACACCCATGTAGAACTACCCTCAATCACAGCCAAAGGGCCATGATCACACAGGACACAATGGCTGTGGAGCTCCTGATAGCACTAGTAACATATGCCAAAGCCATTCAACAAGCAAACCTTATTTCTGAACCCAGCTACCTACTAATGCAAATTGGGGGGGGGGATGTCATAGGAGAAAGGTTAAAAGAAATAATATTAGTTTTTAATGACCTGGAGTGGAAAAACCTATAAGAACAGTCATTCCTGTAACCAGGATTAGCCAACTAAAAAGGGTCTACTGAACATCACTGGGGAACGAGTAAACATTAATTGGTTACATCTAAATCCGTCTCTTACCCTGATTTTCTCTTTCATCATAGGGAGTTCCAAAAGCCCAAATTCTTTGTGCACATGACACAAGCCCTTGTCACCCTGCTACATTCCTTGTTTCTTTCTTCTGTCCAAAGACATCCTAGAACTCACCAACCCAAACATATGCTAGCCCAAGAGCCTACAATAATTCAGGAGCCTCAGGCCTGGGTCACCTAGAGGGCACTATATTCTGATGTCTGATAACTGAGAACTGCAGAAAAGAACCCATCTGTGACACAGCCACATTACCAGGCTAGAGGTACTCCCTGACATAGATAGACAGACAGACAGACAGAGAAACAAAGAGAACCTAGTAGGTTGTCTTAGGGTCTCTATTGCTGTGAAGCAATGCTGTGACCATGGCAACTCTTACAAAGGAAAACATTTCATTGGGATTATCTTGCAGTTTCAGAGGTTTAGTCCATTATCATCATGGTGGGAAGCATGGCAGCATGAAGGTAGACATGGTGCTGGAGAGGGACCTTAGAGTTCTACATCTTGATCTATAGGCAGCAGGAAAAAGCATGCCGTACTAGGCCTGGCTTGAGCTCCTGAGACCTCAAAGCCACCCCTCCTTCAACAAAATCACACCTATTCCAACAAGGCCACACCTTCTAATAGTGCCGCCCTCTTTGGAGGCCATTTTCTTTCAAACCACTCACTACACAGAGAGTTAATTTCATTTACTACAGAGATGGAGAGGAAACATCCTTTTACTTTGTTAATGTATTTGTATCTTGAGTGTTCACAGCTACCGAATTGTAATTGTTCATGATTCAATCTCTGTTAAGACAGCATGGGACAAAACCCGGTCTGCCCCTAGAACTCTCCAACGTAACTCAGCACAAAACCTGTGGCCACATCAGGCTTTTGCATTCATTTTCTATTGCCTGCTTAAATTATTAATATTTTATTTTTGGCATACCTATATTAAAATGTGTGTATTCATTGTGTCCATGTGGGTGTTGGGGATAGTTTAAAGGGGCTGACAAGTGCAAACTGCCTTATATATTCAGGTATTCTTGACTTCTTAAGATCTATTAAAATAGTATGTTAGGGTCTAGTAAATGTTTCATACAACCTTAAAATGCTACTTGTTTATATAACACAACATTCACAGGAGTCATAAGATGCAACTTTCATTAAGCTATGAAATTTCAAATATGGGAATTTTGATAAGGACTCCCTTCTCAATCTGGCGGAAAGGGGAAAAAGTTAATTAAGATGTTATTGCACAAGTAACAAAAAGAGGACATAAAATGCTTTATCCTAATCAAAATACCTCACAGTGATGTACATAAAATTTTTAATAGATTAATTGCTGTGAAAACCTTGAATACACACATGGTAAGTATAAGGTTTTTGTTAAGATGTCTCAGGTTGTGGTGGCATATACTTTAATCCTAGCTCTTAGGAAACAGAGGCAGGAGGATCCAGGTGAGTTTGAGGCTAGTCTGGGCTATACATCAGAGTTCCAGGTCAGCTGGGACTACATAGTGAGACCCTGTATGAAAACAAAATAAAGCAAAACAAAAGTTAAGATACATGGAAAATAGTGGATTTAAATCTTTATTTTGAATTTCCTTTTCATGATGAAAATTCCAAGGGACACAGTGGCAACCAGCAGTGACTTCTAAAATCCAGAGACGTGCATAACAGAATGGCTGGTATTAAGTCAAAATAATAATAATTGATATCTTACATTTCAAGATAAATTTCAACTTACTTTTTTGACATTAAGATACAAAGACTATTGCCTGTCTATCCGTGATTTTTTCCAATAAAAATAAATAAATAAATAAATAAACCAAACAACTAAACATTTTCAAGGTTTTCGTTAAAACAAGGGGGGGGCAGTAAAAGTGTTCATCAGGTAAAGGTGCTCTCGTCCAAGCCTTACCACCTGAGTTCAATCCCCAGAACCCGCATGGTAGAAGGAGAGAACCAAGGGACTCTTGAAGCTATCTCCTCACCTTCACAAGAGTGTGCTTCCCCACAACTAAATAAAAAGCAAATAAATAAATGAAAATTTTAAAGGTCATCTAAACACGGAACATTGAAGCCTGTTCAGCCTACCTAATCTGTGTCAATGACCGGGTTAGGCTCTGTGTGTCTTTAAAACCAAAATTATTTTACATTATTTATATTACGAATCTTGTATTATAAGTACATCCATGGATTGAGGATTGCTTAATGCTGTGGGGAGAAAAAAGGAACTGGTAACAGTTTCATCTAAAGCAGACGAGAATCACGAAATCTTTGTGATTAATGTTTAAATCTACATGTACAAGTATCATCCAGATATACCTTGTGTGGTATATCAGACTGGCTCATAAGTGCTCAGTGTAAATTACAGTTGTGAATTAGTCCTTCGTCCTTTTACTTGGCTGTGTCCATGGCATTTGAGGGACAGCTCCAGCAGCCTAAACTCACAAAACTCAGCCTTCTGCTCTAGGTCTGAGTTCTAGAGACAGAGCAATGGGACAGGAGAAGACAGATGTAACCAGTGTGGGCATGTTGTCCTCGGATAGACATGGCCCCAGGACTTTAAGATCCTGACTTACGCTTGAAATTTAAATAAAGACAAACAAACAAAAACAAAATTTAAAAAAATCTCTCAACTAAGAATGAAGATATAAAAAAGTTAGAAATAAATATGCTATATGCTTTGGTAAAGTTTTTTAAACGGAAATACTTTCAGATTAGAGGATTTGTATAAAGATTTTATCCTAAGGTAAAGGATCACACTAAAATAAAAATACAGAGATTGGGACAAAACTAGAAAGCTAAACTATGTCACAGAAAGGTTTATGGAAATTGAAACTTTAAAATAATATTGAATTTATAACACAGAAACTTGCCAAACTATCTGTTAAGTAACATGTGATTTTAATTTTTTCTCCTTTATGCATCTGTGTGCACATATGTGTGCATGCTCTAATCCCTGATGCCCACTTACAGATCAGAGGACGACCTTCAGGGTCAGTCCTCTTCTTAGCCATGGGGTTCCAGAGATGGAGCTCAGGTCGTCAATGTCAGCAGAAGTACCTTCACCAGCTGAGCCACCTGCAGGCCCAGCTGTTAAATTTAAAGCCACAATTCATTGCTATTATCAACGCAATAGACCTCTGGATATTCGTTAACCATATTTGGGGGTCAAAACCAAAGAGCACATAGGTGCTAAAAGGACAGCAAATATTTTGGCCCCTGCCTCCAGGACAAGTTGGCCAAAGATGGTGAGGTCACATCTGGATCACAGAGGTCACAGAGGCACCAGAGTCTGGATCCTAATCAGCGCTCATTCTACAAAAAGGAGGGCCATCATAGAGGGAAATGCCCTCACTTCTTCCAGTGGAACCCAGAAGGTCAGCAAGATCCTGACCCATTTCCATCAGGTGGCACTGGAGAAGCCATGTCCCCAACAATAACCCCTCAGAGCCTCAATCTTAACAGCTTTTTAAAATGGAGGATTGCCTTTTGACCATCTACGTCTTGAACACCTGACAGAAAGGTATAGCCAAAAATAAATCAATGTAACAATACAGAGGGGGGAAAAACTAGACCAGACTTTAAATGGAACAAACAGGGATTCTTTTTTTTTAATACAAACAAAAAGAAATTTATTTACAATATTTCATACTTCAACAACAGTTACAGCAAGAAACAGGATATCAATCAACAATTAACTAGGAGACTCCATTAATTGTGTTTAAGCTCTTACGCCCAGAGCAGCTTCTCCTACTAGCAAGGAAGATGTCCTTCTGAGTCCTCCACTTGCATAAGGGCAATCATTTAATCAAAGGGGTCTGTGCACCTGATACTTGTGGATTCAGCTGAGTCACATGATTCTTGGTTTCTTTTTCTCCTCTCTGGTTTGTTTTTTTACTTTTCTCTGTTGACCCCTTCCAAGCAATTTCAATTGCAAAAAACTGAATCCTGGGTGCAAAGATGGTGTTCTCCTCAGTGTAGCCATGGGAACAGTCCAGTCTCAGCAAAGTACCATAGTTGTAGTCTTCTACAATCCCTTCAAATTTTAAGCAGAATGGCCTCCACTTCTCTTTAGCTGATTCTGATTTGAGTTCTTCTGGGTCTAATGCATCTACCCTGAGCTTCTCTAAATTTCCACGGAACTCAGAGTAGATTTGGTCATCTACTTTGGTGAGTTTCAGGAACTGTGGGTCAATTGATGAAATCAGTTTGTAATAGACTTCGGCATGCTGCATTGCTCTCATGGCCCAAGCCATCTCAATATCAGGGACGTTGCCATAGGACTCGGCTAGGAGAGAAAGAGCATGTGCCACAGACCCCACTTCCCCAGAAACCAGCTCTTCGCTTTCGATAGTGGTATCCATATTACAGCTAGGTTAAGTGGGGAATGCACCTTTCCCCAAACAGGGATTCTTAATGGCCTTCTCATTAAACCCTGAGTGTGGAATACACACATGCCAGCAAGATGACCATGGCCGTCCCAAAGACAATGCAAAGATAGGCTCCAACTCCAAACTTACCAACTTTATATTTTGTTTTCCTTCATTGTTTAACTATCTACATTAATGATATTCAATTTCATAATCTCTGTCTCCCTTTTAATCTATTAAACCATTGGTTTCCTTCTTAAGACTGTTTTTTTTAATCTGGCTACATTCATAATATAACATTTATATTATATCATATTATATTATATTAAGAATCCTAGGATCAAACCATATAAGAATTGCTCTGTTGGACATGGACATACTGGCTCTTGCCCTTTCTGTGGTCATCAGTTGACATGATTGCTATTTTTTACCTATATCTTGTAGTTTTTAATCTTGTAAAGTGTTTTTTTTTTCTAGAATATAAGTTTCAAACTAAGTTTATGACAGAGATTCCAGCCACCTCCTACCACAGGGAAACCAAAGCCTGGTCTCCAACCACTGGCAAAGGAAGGAAGAGTTCAGAGCCCCTCCTCGGTGACACTAAGCCCTATTCAGTACAGGAGTTAGAAAATGGTGGTCTTCATCTGTCAGCCACCCCACAAAGATTTCTGTGACCCAGCTGGGGGTGGCAGAAAAGCAGGGGTGGAGAGAAAAAGACGCGGGGGGGGGGGGGT